AGCGAACAGCTGCTGGCTTGGGTCTCTCTATAGCAGGTGGTAGAGGTTCTACTCCTTTCAAAGGAGATGATGAAGGAATCTTCATCTCTAGAGTGACTGAGGGTGGACCAGCAGATCTTTCAGATCTCAGGGTATGTAATGTAAACATCCTTTTAATTAATAGTTGTTAGCATAGTATATGTTCAGTGTAGTAGGTAAAAATCTAAAATGTTGCAGTGTGAGGAAGAGGAGAGTGTGTTTGCCTGTCCAGGGTTAAAAGGGAGAGAAATGAAGAGATTTACCTTGTGTTTGGATACTGGCCAACAAGATCTGTCTCGTGAAATAAAAGGTTCTCATGGTGACATATATGAACATCACTTTCTTCTGGGATTTTGTGCTGTGTGCTTGTAGTCTGGCAGAAGTTTGCCAATGCTTCAGATGCACTTGCTGCCTGTGAAACTTCTGTAAATTTTTGCTAGATTACACAATGTAACATCCCAGAAGACAATTTCTTGGGACGTTTGTAGATTCGGATCTGATCGAATTTTTTGCCATTTTGTTGTTTATTCTGACTGCTTATTAAAAGAGAAATAAGTGATACAATGGAAAATCGTTTCTGGTTATAATGGCATGTGATAATTATCATACTTATATGCGCACATTATTGGGAATCATTAAAATAAATGCTATACTGGGTAGTGCAAAAAAAAAATTATTTTTTAAAACAGTGGTATGAGCCGGGATAGCTCAGTCAGTATAGTGACTAGCTAGGGGCTGGACGGCCGGGGTTCGATCCCCGACGGGGGCAGAGGATTTTTCCTCTAGCCTCTGCGTCCACACCGGCTCTGGGGCCCACCCAGCCTCCTATCCAATGGGTACCGGGGTCCTTTCCCGGGGGTAAAGCCGGCCGGGGCGTGATGCTGACCACTCACCCCCATCTAGTGCCGAGGTCAAGGAAGAGAGGAGCTATACCTCCACTCACCCCAAGCGCATACATGGCGTATAGTGGGACAAACTTTACTTTACTTTACTTTAAAACAGTGGTAAAACTGAATGGTGCAATAGATTTGAATGTAACTTATATAGGATGTGTAGAACAAAATTGCGTTTTTGTAACAAATCAGCATACATGCATACACTGCAGTCTGCTTCTGTTGTACTGTGGATTCAGTTGGTAGGAATTTAATTGAAATAAAAGAAAGTCACAGCATGAAAAATAATTTTTAGGTGGGTGACAAAGTGCTATCAGTGAATGGCCAGCCTGTAGTTGATGTTGGTCATTATGATGCTGTTGAGGTGCTGAAGAAGTCGGGTTACAAATTGGTGCTTGTGGTGACAAGGGAAGTTCCAAGACTTGTCCCTGTTACAGCAAAGGTAGGTACATCATAGTGATTCCCTGGGCAATACTACAACAGGTTATCTTTGTGTGTCCATTTGTCTTTCTTTCAAATTTTGAATAATTGACTGATTTTTTTTATATACAAAATTTGATATGAACATTATAAAATACCAATCGAGGCTGCTGCTCGTTCTTCTCATTTCCTAGTCAGTGAGAAACAACATAGTAGATGTTTGAACTTCTTGTCAGGTGGGAGCAACATTGATGCCATGTAATGTAGGGTCATGTAGTCATGTGTTGGAATACGTCTTTCATAAATATGCAATGTGCGGGCACCCACACACAGACGGACAGAGAGACTTTTCTAGTAGTGTTAAGATTGTAGCAGTTGGAGGTGACATCTGTTATGTCATCAGTCCAAAGTGGATGGCTGAAGTTTAGTATTTCTTCTACTACCACTGATGTGATCCTAACACTGCAGGCATAATTTGTCTTTTCATTTACTGCTTTATGAGTGCTGAACCAGCTGTATTGTGTTTGGGTCTTCTCAGCTTCCTGAGATTACACCATCTCCATCCCCTGGTTCTACTCCAACCTTCAGGCAACATGGTGTTGCTTCCAACCTAGATTCTGCTTGCTCGAGCCTTGGCACCAGTCGAGCGCCAAGTGCTACTTCTCATGTGTCTGCTACAACTTCTGGATTTGAAAGTGCGAGTAAGGGAGAGAATGGTCAAGTTTCTGGAGATCATAACCATGAACATAAAGCAAAGGTGACACGAAAGAAATGTTGAGTTCTCTACCACACACAGATTCTTATAAAAGTACACCACCTCATTTTATGAAAGGGTTCTGTTGCTTGAAAGATGTTTGCTAAGTGACAGCTTGTTAGATGAATGTGAATTTATAGGTACTAACTAGATATATGGTGTCATGGGGCATGTGTGTATGACAGATAAGTAAAAAATATGTAAAATTGCTTTTTTGGTACTATCGTATTTCAGAAGCTGAATTCTGCTTCTGTCTTCAGGTAAAAGGGGAAGAGGGCATTGGAATCTATCTGTTGGACCCTTGGTTGAGCTAGTGAAACCAGGATATGGAAGGAAGCAGTCATGGCCAATGATCATTTATGTAATCCCAACACTTATAAAAAATGGGTTTAGAATACCTGTTTCATAGAATATGCTCAGGCATGAATTGGGATGTACCACAGTGAAGAATCATCCCTATGTTGAACATTTCCATATTATTGTCTTACATTTCTTTATATTTGTGGGAAATTATTTTATTTTCACAGCCTCAGCCTATTAAGAAGATACCTGAACCAATCAAGACATCAAAAGATGTTGAGACTCGCCAACAGACTGTCCACATAACATTAATCAGAGACCAGAATGGCCTCGGGTTCAGCATATCTGGTGGCAAAGGATCTCCACCTTATAAAGATAACTCTGATGTAAGGGATTATTTAATTACAATACAGTTTATAGCAAGGATTATTACCATTTTTTAAAGAAATTCAAAGAGAAATTGTGTTAAAGTTGAATACACATTTAATGTCTGTCATTATTTCAGATTTAAGTTTCTTCCCTATAATATATTCTTTACTGAACATACTTCTTCTCCACCATAGTGAAAACAGACTGGGATTTACAAACTTATAAGCAAGTTTTTTTAAGGGAAAAAGAATTGCACTAAATTATTTGACATCTGAGAGAGTTATAATGAAGTAGTTTTGGTGTATAAATGCGTTTTGAGGTTCTGACAGTGGTGGATATGAAGATGGTTGTCTTGTAGGTTGTAGCACTGTGTACTGTGGTAGAAGTTAACCAACATTTCAGACGCCTTTGCTGCTTCCATAATCAATGTCTAGACAACAATGTTGAACATCTAGAACCACACAGAAACAACATTAGATATTGAAAATTACTTCTGCATAGAACAGTAAGTCTCATGCCTGGTGGTACTCAGGGAATGATGTGGGAATCACTAAAATTACCATTAGCAGGGTGCACTGTGTTCAAAGTTTTGGGTGATGTGACAGTCTGTAATTGTATAGTACAGAACTAATTTTAGTTTTTTTTATTGCATAATGAGATTGTTACTGTTGTTTCTCCTTCTAGGCCATCTACGTTTCTCGAATAACGGAAGGTGGTGCAGCTGAAAAGGATGGAAAATTACAAGTGGGAGATAGGGTGATATCAGTATGTATTGTTGATTTAATGTTTTGTTGCCTCTTTGTTGTTTTGTCAGTAATGCTTTATGCGTTTATGTGCGCTTGGTGGCATGGTGGTTCTGTTTCTGATCAGGGAGCCCACCTGAAATCTCACCGTGTTATATTCTCATTGTGTCAGCTCAGGATGGAACACGCTCTGTTTCAGAACCAGTTTCTTTATTTTCATTCCGTGAAAGCATTCCTGTATTTATTGCACTTTAATTCTGTGAGTGAACAAACATTCAACTTTCTGCTTGTGCATATGAAAGTAATGGTAACTTGATCTTAATATACATATGTGCTGTATGTTTAGATTTCATTATAATGGTAGAAGAGGAATAGTATAAATATCAACACATGGCACTTGCATGCAGTCATATTTGTCTGTGGATTAACAAAATGGTATTGCATGTCATATGATATTGGCTTCAGTAATATGTACCACCATTAAACTTTTTATTGCTATGACCTGTATATCTTGGATTGGCATAAAGTATAGCACGAAATGCTTGAAATGTGGCAAGTACAAAAAGTGCTTTCTAAACCTCTGTCTCAGTTTTTTATTTAGCATGGGACTGGTTATTTTAACTCAGATTCTTTATGGTTTTTCTTGATCTTTCCAGGCAGATGCTAGGACAGAGGCTATATCTTGAATGAGATTTTTCGTTGTTTTTCTAATTCTCTCCATTCAAATGCCTCTCTAGGACATAACTACTTTCTTCTGGATCCTAGTGCCAAGATATATTCCTCCTGTATGTCCTCATGGTGTGGTGTGTAGACTTTTGTCAAAGGCCTCCTGTTCAAAACCATTTAAATTCATTGAAGTTTTTTCACTCACCTGTCACAAAGACATAGTTTTGTAAATGTGTTGATTACTAGGCCCCTGATTTGGTTTAGAATTATATGAATCACTGTAGGTCTGCTATGCCAGTATTATCGCCCCATCATCTTGTGGTTGGAAGTAGTAGAGGTCCTCATTTCAGACATGGATTCTTTTACTTATTTAGTACATGCAGAGGCCAGGAAGCTATGAATACCACAAGTAAAGGCATTGAACAAGTTCAGGAACAAAAATTCTTTCTACGTTTTGAAGTACAAAGTATTTCTTCCAATCCATAATTTCTGAATGTGCCAGTGGTGTAAGTTTGAGAAGCATTAGACTAAATATAATTCCTCCATTTTTTATTGACAGAAAACTGTCATTTATATCCCATATTACACATTCATAGCCAGTAATGTCAGTTAGAAACTACTTGAGCTCATTTGTGTTACTGCTGTGCTATGTAGAACATAGTAGAATGTAATCAAATTAAATGTCCCTGAATTGCTTAATATTCTAAAGTGTAGTGCAGTACATAAAGAACATTGACATTGCAATTAACTGGTCTGATGCTTAATTTAAAGGGTGTGGCAAGGGATTAAAAATCTTTTCATTTTGCCTTCTTAAACAGAAGCTGTTTTATCTTGTTCTAATCACATGACATGCTTTTAACATACTTCATTAGCATACTCTGTTAAGTCCTTCCATTTCTAATGAATAGGTTAGAGAGTAGAAAATGCACATGAAATCTTGGATACTGTGGGATTCTGCAAATTTCACATTCTCTATTCTCTTTTTATAATTTTCTTTAAACATTTTAATTGATATTACTTCTGATGTAATTATGCAGTTTGTTGAATGTAATCACGTAGTATTACACGAGTGCAGCTTGTATTAAGTTTCTCTTGCTCTTACACATTTCATTTTCATTGGAAGATTAGTGTATTTAACATGCTGGATGAAACACAGCACTTTACAAAATAAATATTTCTTTCTGTATGTAATTTCACGGTAAAAGGGGAATTTCTAAGCTACAAGCTTCTTTGTTACAAAAGAATTGTGTGTTTGATGGAAAAGATAGTCAGCCTCCCTTAAGTGATGTTTCCAGTCACTGCATTAGGTTTTAAATTGTGATGCAGATATTTCAAGATATGTGTGCATACAAAGGTTCAGTCATTGGGCATGTAAAAAATACAGGAACTGAGATATTTTAGAGCATGCAGAAAAAATAAATTCTGTTTCCTGAAAGAAACTTAATAACACCTTAAATCTGGTTATATATGCGTATATATTCATGATGATAGTTGGTGGAATTTGTTATGTGCTGAGTTCATTCAGCAGATGCAGAAGGAATTTAAAATTGGAACTAAACTTCAAAAGACTTAAATTTGAATATCTATATAAGTAAATAAAAGAAAATTGGTCCCTTGAATTTGGCAATGAAGCCTTTTTGCTGTAGTGCTCTGTATCTCATCAAAACTGTATTCCTGCATGTGACTAAAATGAAGTAAAATTACAGAATACTGGGAATTTTCGTGGCTGTAAAATATATCTTTAAAATATGATTTATAGAAACTGAAATTTAATTTTTAAAATGTGCAAATTGTAGTAACAGGTGAGTCACTATGTTGTTTGCTGACAGTGACAGTAGTGTCATACAGTATAATGTGAGTGTATAGGATCAGTCTTTCACTCCCCCTCTGCATCAGTGAGTGCATTGAATTCTGTAGAATGTGAAGGCATCACAAAAGGGACTAGTAGAAACAAATAGTGGGGAGGGGGGGAAGAGAAATCAGAGATTGATTTATATCAGCCTTTGTATAAGCCATTGCATGGTTTTTTAATAATTTTCTGTAAATTCTGAAAGTAAATTAGAAACATAAATCTGCATGCGTGTTAGTTGCACTGAATGATCCAAATTGATAAACTCAGAGCAGGTTCTAGAAGAGCTGTTTGGAGAATATGTGACAGTGTGAGGACTCAGTGTGGTCTGTCTTCCCTACAGATTAATGGTGTTGACATGGAGGGTGCTCGACATGACCAGGCAGTATCAATGCTGACTGGTCTTGAGAGATTTGTCCGTCTGGTGGTGGAGCGAGAGGTGTTGGTTCCTCGTGAGTCATTGTGTAGCAGCCCATCTCCCTCACCAAGCCCGGGCTCAGAGAAGTCCCCTCGCGTGTTTGGTGTCCCAAAACCATATACTGGACTGTATAGTGCCAATAGCTACATGGCAAACCGGCCCGGTTATAGTGGTTACAGGCGACCGATATCTGAGAGAACCGGTGGTACAAGCTTTGGAAAGTTGCCTGGACTTAGAAATGAAACGTCCGAAACAGTAAAAGATAGTGATAAGAAAACAGTTAGTGCATTGTCAGACACTCATCATTCAGATGCTGCAAAATGTGCCAGTGCCAATGCCAATACCAGTGTTGATGCGAGGGTAGAACCCCCACGTCCTGCCCCCCGTCGTGTTTTTCAGCCACAGAGCTCGGATACTTCTGCTCCTGCACCTGAGACCACATCAGAACCAGTTCAGGTACTTCCAAAGCCCATCACCAATGAGGAATTCCAAGCAATGATCCCTGCTCGGTTCCTTCAATCATCCTCCGCCACAGATCCCACGCCAGAGACCCCTGGGCCCACTGTGACAGTGACTATCAAGCAACCTGACCACTCAGCTGGGGACATCAAATTCCCTCCTGCCCCAACAACTCTCGGTAAAGTGACAGAGACCATCACAAAGAGCACCTTCACCGAGACAGTTGTGACTCGGGTCACAGAGAACAAGGAGGTTCTTCCCGTCATCATAGAGGTTAGTTGGGCAATGTACGGTCAGATTGAAACCTGGTAATATACAGATGCTAGAAGAGTTGTTAAATCTAAGATGATCACATGCAGAAGTATAATGGTCTTTAGTATCAGTTTATGAAAGTCTGGATATTTGCAAATCCTGACAGTAATGTTTGCTTTGTTCATACATCTGTAGTTATTAACCAATGCAGAATAGAAACGGTTTAAGACAGTAATATGCTCAACCAGAATAGCCGCTGATAAAAACATTTGATATTTTTATATGGACACTCCTGTGTACAAAATAATCCTGTGAGTAGCGAATTTTAAAATACAAGTTCATTTTACAGGTACAAGTTAAATTTCTTTTGCTTCAAAGACTTAGGAACATACCCATATAAGAAACATAATTTTAAAATGTTTCGCTTGTCAGCATTTCTACTGGAAGAAGTGCACTACAACATATGTAATGCTGGAAGGCTGGAGGAAAGAGGTCACAGAGCTAGTAGGAGCACATGCTCAGGATATGTTGTTTAACTTTGGTACTTTGAGGGTTAATTTCCATGCAGAAGAAGGATAGAGTCTTCTTTGTCCTTTTTATGTATGAATGTGGATTGTGTTAATATGTTTTGAACATATTCAAATTTTATGCTTCCTTATTTACATAAGTTTATTACTGTTACATTATCATCTTCTTGTTTCTATAATTGTTTGTATGCTTTTGCAAATGTTCTGTTTATCGTGGATTAAAATTAATGTTTTTATGGGTATTTCTTGTACTTGTTTTTAGGCCTTCTGACTCCAGATAACTTTCATATTTCTGGTATTCTTGATGTGGTGAAAAAATTTAATGAAGTCTTTTTGGTTCTAGACCATATTATGGCTAAATAAAACTGTAGGTTTTGGGAACACCTGCTTCTGTCTTCAGGACTTAACAGAATGATACCTCCGTGTATGGTTAAGGAACACAGATATAGGTCCATTCCTGAATGGATGTTCTCTTTCAATTTGACACCTTTCGCCTTCCTCCCACTACCGCTGGTCCAGGCTTAAAACACTGATTTCCCTCATTCTGTTCTGTCCTCATCATATTAGATATTGAAGAGGCAGAGATTGATTGATGTTTTGGGTACTTAGCAATGATTAGGTACTGTGAAAATATTAGTTTTACTCAGCCATATTGCAGCATGTGAACATTTCAGATATGACATTTATTTATTCATCTATTTAGATAATATGTGGAATATGAACGGTACAGAATTCCTTATTATTTTTAGACTGTTTGCTCATTGAAATGGAACAAATACCAAGGTTTCAATCTCCGTCAGCATATAATGTAAACTGCATCCATAGAATTTCTGCTGCATTTATAAATTAACAGCTTGGTAAATGTTTTTAAGAATGATTATCATGTACTGAGAATGTATTTTACAGTTCAGTATGAAGTTGCATGCATTATACACAATTTTATTGACACATGATTCCATGTCATAAGTGGATGAAATTTTCTGAAACTAAACTTGTAGTAATAACATACACTAGAAATTACACACAGATTTTTGGTTTTGAATTCAATTTTCATTATTGTATGTAGAATTAAAACTTTCAGGTTATTGGCTGCTTTGTTGGTGTTGATTGAATATTGTGTTTGTTTGCTAACATTTTTAAGTAATTGGAAGTTTGCATCTTCAGGGTGAAATATGCAACAGCTTACCTAGTCCTCTTATTCATATAAATACTAGTAGAATACCCATTGATATTTTAGTGGGAAGTGGCTGTTGCACCTTTGAGAATTATTGAGAATACACAGACATCATGGAAGTGATTATTTGAAAGCCTTTGTTGGTTGACTGCTTGATTTTGTAATACCTTTGTTGCAGCATTCAGAACACACTATATTCTGGATTTTTGTGCATATCATGTTATATATGTCATGATATTGTTTTGTATACCTGCACAAATCTCTAAACACTGCGAAATGTGAGAACATTTTTTGAGCAGAATACTAAGCATTTCCCAAATTTAATTTGTTAAACTCCTTTGTAAATGTAAATTAGATTTTTTACATTATGATTTTGCCCTGCATTTTGATGGTAAGAAATGGGCATGTCCATTTTTTCTTTGCCACTATTTCTAGACCCCCATCCTTACTAGCATCTAATAGAATTTCTTTGTTTGCAGTTACTGTTTCCTCTCCATTAATTAACTTTTGCACAGAACAGAAGCTGATACATTCCATTCAAACCCTCCTGATTTTCTTGGACTTGCTGATGGCATATTCTAAAGTAAAGTTGAACAGCAATGGCAATAAGACATCCCCATGTTTTAAATAACTCTTATTAGGAAATTTGTCAGGCAAATGCTTAAAAATATATGGATTTAAATACAAGTTTTATTTAAACTTATTTTAATTACCCACATTTATTTTATGAGTGTACCAAATTCAGTGAGATGATTGTGTAGTATTTGTCTCATAGCAGAGTTGAAGGCAATCTCAATGTCTGGCCATAACGGCACCAGTACTAAATTAACTATATATATCTTGATGGTATCTCATGTAATATCCTGCCTTGCTGATGTACTTGACCTCCCTTTGGTCAAAAGGTTTCCCGTATCACCAGAAGGCTACTTAAAGAAATTCTGCAGTATATGTATTTGTATTAAAGTAACATGCATTTTGCATGTTCTCATCTCACAGCATGGTTTATTAGTGTTTCAGTCTCATGAAACATGTTTTGTTTAAAGAAATTTGTATTTATAGCTCCTATTATGCTCTCTTTTAAAATTTCCTTTACATATTTTCCTGTTCAACTCTGATAACGTTTATGTCATGATGTCAAACAATGTTAGCTTTCTTTAGAGCCGTTAGCTACTAACACCAAAAAGTAAGTTAACTATAAGCTTTCAGATGTGGTGCAGTGCAAGAACAGTAACTTGGATTCCCAATGAGTGGTGTGAGAATCCTGAAAATTAAAACTCACTTCACACTGTGAATGTATTAATTTTTTCGTCTGTTGTTGCCTTGGCAGCCAGTTTAGCGTCTGAAGTAACACACAGTATTCTTTTTTTATTGCCTGTGTGATATATACCCAAAGTTATTTAAGGGAATAGTATATACAAACTTCTTGTGTCATAGATATTTATATTTATTCCATATTAGTTTGCATGAAGTACTTTGATTGCAATCATGATTGATCTTAAAAGTAAATTACTGTGCCATATTGAAATTATCTGCATGAATTACCAAGCTGTTAATTATTTACCCTGTTAAGCATTGATGTTAAATTTGTGTGTTCTTGTCATACTGCTTATGTGTGTGAATACAGAGAAGTGTCTTAAATCGAACGCCAGATCTCAAAATACTATTGATGAAATATTTTTTTTAAAGTTTCAATAGTTAAAGTAGTGAAATGAAGGATGGTCTACATATTTAGCTTTGACTGGTAACAAGAAAAAGAAAACTTTTGTGGGTGGGTGGGGGCTCCTGGGAAGCTGCCATTTGATAGGACGACAGAGACGAGATATTATGGAAATAGGATATGAGGATGTAACTGGATTAAAGTGGTTCAGCATTGTATTTAATGTTGAGGTTTTTCACTAATGTTATTGAATCTTCAGAAACAGCTGGAGCTGTGCTCTGCCTTTGCCACTTTTATCTAATTCTCATCCTTATCGGCCTCACATTTGTTTTCTTTCATGTTGAAAAGTTTATTCACATCTGACACTGCTTTGTTGCAGTTAGATAGGAAATTAAACAAACAGACTTAAGAGATGGTCAGTGGTTTTAACACTTACATGAGATATGAAATTTTTTTTATCACATGCAATTAGTTCATTCATAAGTTATTTGACAAGTAGCATATAATGTCATATGGCGTGGGAGAATGAATATGTGTACTGAACAAAGAATGACTGGGCAGGATGTGGTATTTTAAGATTGTTGTGGAGGTACTGAGGATAATGACAGAATTAATCAACATTTCCTCTCCCTTGTCAGGATTCAAACAGAGACTTTCTGAATATGCACCAGATGCATTACTACTGCAAAACACACCTGTTTGGTTACAGAGGGAAAGATGATGTTTTGCAGATTTGAACTAGGTGTTCGATTTAATGTCATTTTACTGTATTATCTGGGAATATTAACAATGTTCAATGTATGTGTGCAGGTTAACCCGTTTTCAGTTTCTTGTGACTAACTCTGGTAAGAAAACTAACCAACAGTAACAAATGCAAAGGTCAGCATTTTTGTAACATGTTTCCCCTTCTGTCATCTTGGGTAGCAGTCACCCAGCCCTTCTATCTCCCCTCGTCTTTCTTGAAAGAACAAGAGTGTGAAAGTACACTCCAATTTCAAGCACATATTTATCCCACATGCATTCTTTGAGACGTCATATACATCATTGATCTTATTATTCAATTACTGTGTGTGCAAATGTGTTTTTTACATAGCTAGTCAACAGTACAGGTACTATGTTTTGTTACAAATTCTGTTTTTTGGCAGGTCTGATAAGCATTAGAAATATTCAAGGCATAGAGGTACATAAGTTATTCATCCACGAGTTTCTTTAAATATACATCGTATATAAAAGTATTTTGGATGAATATCAAAATATGTTTTTCTTTGTTATAATCTTGTGTGGCGTATTCACTCCTGAGAATGCCAGTTCAGCTTTCTCATTGCACAACTAAAATATTTCCATCATCTTACTGGTTTTTATTTGCCTTGTTGAATATAAGTTCTTATCTAAATGAAGGTGAATATTTTTGTGCTATTCTGACAGTATTTTATTCTGGATGTTTTCACAGCAGTTATGCCATTGGAAGATAATGTAATCTATAAATATAAAACTGGGTATTAATGATATCAATTAGTATGCAACAATGTATATGAATGAAGATTACTACCACCATTGCTCCAATCATTGTGGCCTGAAAATTGTTATGTAATGGTTAACATTTCTGTTTTGTACTCTAGAGCTTTAGCTATCCCGAGGTTTTTGTGGTTTTCCTCAGCTCCTCCTCTGACTTATTTTAGACGAAAGCTGTTTCAATCTTATTTCTTCCTGTTTTTTCATTCATTATTATCGTGTCATTTATGTGTACAACCTTTGCAGTTGACAGCGTAGTTAAATAAACCAAGAAATGTGTTTTATTTTGGGGGGTGTTAATAGCTATACTGTATAAGTACTTTCACTTTGAAAGTGTATTCTTTCATCCATTCCCTGCAGTTAGAGACCACCATAAAAATTAAAACAGTTACTGGGGATCATGTTCTTGAGGAATACTTATATTATAATATTTAGACGAACTACAATAAAATTGATGATACTGATTTGGCTTTGTGCATTTGTTTATTGCATGATCATGAGTGTGTACTGTATCCAGTATTACACAGCACTGTTCTGTTTGACACTTCTTTGCATGGGAATTAAATAGCATGTTGCAGTTGGACTGTTCTTTGTAAGAGGCTAGTTGTCTGTTTAAAGGTTTTGTGGATTTATATTTACCTTCAGCTATTCAAGTTAAATTACTGTGTCCTTGCAGATTTCATCTGCACAAGATTCTTATAGATCTGTAAGTAGCTTAGACAACCTGTTAATTTTTTATTACATTGTGATTTTGTGGGTTATGATGCTGTGTAGTGTCATGGGGGTCACCAGCATTTTGTAGGAAACTTGCCTTCATTTCCAAGTTAGAAGAAGATGAGGTAGTAGATTCTGTCATTGTTTTGGTAACTATCTACTGGGCTACACACTATCATAATTTGAAAGACCACAATGTGATTTTATACTGTCATGAAAACCTGTCATGTCTTACATACTTTTTAATTTTTGTTATTGGTATTATTGTCGGTACTACAGCCCAGTTGCAGCATTGGCCGTTTCATGAATTATTGAGGTTTTCTAGATTATTCATACAAGTTGTAGAACTCCTGCAATGGCAGGCCAGACCAACACAACATCTCTAAGCCTCTACAGAATAACATAGAACATAGTAGGCAATCATGTTATCTCCTTTTTTTTAAAAAAAAGTAAGTGATTTAATTGTTTTGAAGATATGCATCCATGCAGGTACCACAATGATTTAAATATTCCAGACAGAGTAAGCCTGTAATTGGAAATTCAATTACAATATTATTCCATTTCATCGTAGCATATATATCAGACACTACAAACAGATCTTTAAAATAATTAAATGAGTAAAATATGGACAACAAACTAGAGGTGAGATTTTAGGTTTTCATGGTTGTGAGTATGAAGATGACTGTCTTCTGGGATGATGTGCCATTTAGTCTAGTAGAACATTGCCCTGGTGAGTAATGCAGCAAGTACCTCTGAAACTCCAGTAAACTTATACCAGACTACTTGATGCAACAACCCAGAAGACAGTCGTCTTCATGCTAAATAGTTTTTTGGTTGTTCAATCTGCTTACAGACTTTGTATTAACTCTGCCTGTACATACTTTATGCATATTGTTTTCTTATAATATAGCTTAACTAAGTGCTGCTTAAAAAGCTTCTGCAATCTGATCGCAAGATGACAACTGAAAGGTAGGACAGCTTCTCATAACATCTGCTCAACAAACTCTGCTCTCTTAGTTCATGAAATTAAGAAAGAAAAATCTTGCATCTTTGATATATGCATTTCAGCTTTGTAATTCATTTTAAATTAACTACATAAACCAACGCTTGTGTTTGCCTTCCATTGGTTGTTAAGCAGACGTTATAATGTGTTATTCTTTTTAATTCTGGATCTTGCAGACTACATTTCATTGATATGACATCTTGAGCCACTGCTTGATAGGGTAAGGGACAAATATTATTATTTTCAACAACATACAGTTACAATTATAAATACTTGGATGATCGAAACCTGTAATGATATTTTCCAAACTGTTTGTGAACTCCTTGGGTGGTATGTGAAATGTTTCCATAAGGTTTACAAGGAAAAGTACATAGCGGCTTGTGGTTGGGGCATGAAACTGACCACTCACCTCCATCTAGTGCAAAGGTCAAGAAATGGAGCTATACCTTCATTACACCATACGTCTTTACGGCATGGTGCTTAATACCAGGCACAACTCTACTTTTACATAAATTACATGCAGTAGAAAATCAGCTTCTATGCATCATTGGGATATGTGTGGGTTACAGAATTTTAAAACATCTTTTATAGTTCATATTTATAGTTACTAAATACTGTTTGTAAGATTTTAATTTCAGGAATTGCATTTCTAGTATTGTTTTTTGGGTTATGATAAGTTAAAGTAATGACCATGTTTTCTTTTCCATCACTGTGTATAGTTTTAATTGAGATTGTTACCAAATTCCCCTTATAATTACATTTAAGCCCCTGTGTTTAATAGTAATATGTATGAGACAGTAGTTTTAAATGGCTATGAGGTTAAGTCTTGATGTGTGTGATATTCTGTTGGAGTAATGAGTGAGATTAGTACTACCAGTTTTTGTATCACATTTAATTATATTTTCTCGATTGCAGGAGGTGACACTTGTTAAAGAGGGTGGTTCATTAGGATTCAGTATTATTGGAGGAACAGACCACTCGTGTATGCCCTTTGGAGCAAGTGAACCAGGCATTTTCATATCACATGTAAGTACACTGCTTTTTAGAGAATTAAAAGCATAGTTATATTTGAGTATTATTCATTCCCAATTGGACACTACATTAGTAGACTTATAAATTTGTGGAAGAGGACAAGAAGGTTATAATTTTTGTCTGTAGAGCAGATTGCAGCAGTGTCCACACATTGCAACATGTGATTAGCAGAATATTTTCACATATAGTTTTCCTTATTCAAGATGCAATTTCATTGGCTTATATTTTGACGTACTTATGGCAACTTTTACCTGCTAAACAGTATTTTATTTTGAGGTAGTTTTATATGTATTTCATAGTGTTAATGCATGTCATGCTTATCAACCTTACCACACTGTGGCGATGTCCTTCATAATGAGCATCCTCGCATTTTCAAAGTTTGTCCTTAATTAATTTATTTATTTATTAAGTTCTCTATACAGAAGAATGTGTCTGATGACACTCTACAGGTATACAAACATTCAGTATTTCGTACTGTTATTGGGCATACAGAGTAAATTTTAACATTGCTTTGTACTTGGATTAGTGATACTTTATTTAATTTACTAGACATATTTTGAATTTATCCATTTGTTGGTTTTCTAAATCATTGCTGGAATTGAAATGTTTTTATCTTTGTAATCTTATTCCATAATCTATTTTATCTGCAACTTGTTTTCTTGTATATAATGATTTATGAACATATCAAATCATTATTCCTGTGCTATTCTGTTTTAATACACAATCTGCTAATGCTCTCAGGTCATTCAGTACAAGTGTCCTTCTTACACTTTGTTTTGGTATGTTAGGGGTGGCAAGGTAGGCTTAATTTTCTGCATTGTACTGTGTTATATGTGACGTCTCTAAACACACAACACGGTATTAAAATGTTATGTAAAACAAGTTGATAAAAATATGCATGTATTTTGAAATCTGAAAATTGTGTTTCAGGTGGTTCCAGGTGGAATAGCTGCTCGGTCAGGGAAGTTAAGAATGGGGGATCGAATCCTCAAAGTGAATGGTGAAGATGTGACCAAATCAAGCCATCAGGAAGCAGTGCTGAAACTTTTGAAACCTGGAGATGAAATAGTTCTCGCCATCCAGCATGATCCCTTGCCAGAGGGCTATCAGGTTGGTTCTTTGCTGTTTTAAAATCTATATATTGATTGTACCATGGATAATGTGTGTATTAACTTTAAGTTGAACAATTATTCACTCATTCCATTTCAGTATTAGAAGTAGTATTTTTTAAAGAACTAGCAATGCAAGTACAGATTCTGTCTATGAGCCAAGACAGCTCAGTCGGTATAGTGTCTGACTATGTACCAAATGACTGGGGTTTGGTTTCCGGTAGGGGCAAAGAATTTTCTTCTAGCCTCTGCATCCAGTCAGGTTCTGCGCCCACCCAAACTCCTATCCAATGCCAGGGTCCTTTCTCCAGGGGTAAAGTGCAATTGGGGAATGACATTGACCACTCACCCCCATCTAGTGCCATGGCCAAGAATAAAAGTTTCTTCTTGAGAAGCTAATTGTCATTCAACTGGTCAAAAAATGCTCTAGCTTTCATGGTACCCAAAGATTATGGGCATGTAGCATGCATGGAAACATGAGGAATGTATATAACATATTGATTAGAAAAAATGATGGGAAGACTCTCCTTTAGAGCTGATGATGATAATATTATGGTAGATCTTAACAAAATATAGCATGAGGATGATGCAGACTGGATTCATATGACCTGTGGTAGGGTTTTGTTGCAGGCTCTCGTGAACATGGTAATGTATGAACATGGCTGTCTCCTGGGTTGTTGCACCAAGTAGTCTGGTAGAAGTTTATCAGCATTTCAGAGGTGCTTGCTGCCTCCATCATCAGGGCATCAACAACCCAGGAGACAGCCATATTCATACCTGTCATCATGATAACCTCTAATCTGACTTTGTGACTTCCTAAAACTCAAGAAATTGCTCACCTGTTTGTGCAACTGTGAATTTCTTAAGGACTTTGCTCCATAGGAATTAATTATTATATGTGTTTTAGTGCCTTATGCATGGTTGGGGGGAAATTTAATTTTGCTATATTCTACTGCATTGGGTTTGGTACAGGGTTAAAAAATTTACTATAAATGTAGCCAATAGGGGATACTTACTGTTTGTAATATGATTTAAAAAAACTGATGCTTTGTTTTTGTTGATCCAATTTCATCATCTGAAAATCAAACTTTTTTATTGTAACATGGAATGTAAGCAGTAATTATTTGTGTGTTATGATTGTTACAAGCTGGTCGAGGTTGAATATATACATGTCACAGTAAGTATTTTTTCCCCCTGTTATACCAATCATTGTAGTGACTTGCATATAACTTTTTAGACTCTTGGGTAGAACGGGGAAGAGGATGGAAATCTCTTACTATTTGCTTATCATAATTTATCCCCTGTGATGCCAAAACTGATAAAAGGATTGAACAAGTTCCAGTCTCATTTAGGTCTTTCCTTACAGGATAATTACTATATTTTCTTCAGTTTTAGATACTTTTTTACATTAAAAAATTTCCTGAAATTGGGGTGCATCTTACTTTTGATGGCCTCTTAGAATTGATAGTGTCTCTTTTTTGAACACCCGTTGCCAAATCAAGGGTGCATCTTACAATTGATGACATCTTAAAATTGAGGAAATGTGGTATATTTGACATTGTTGATTGTGTGGTGTTATATAATGACTCCTATCTGCAGTGATTGGTTGTCATAGTGACATAATCTTGTTATCAGCATTCTCATATTTTAGTCAATGAGTTTTGGGTTTTGTCCTGAACGTTGCCTTTGGTCTTGGCAAAACCTCAATACAGGTTATTCAGAAGAAAATTACAGTTTCATTGTACAGTATGTTCATAATTTTCTAGGGTACAAAATCATATGATTCTTGAATGAAAGCTCACTTTTACTGAGTGTGTGTGTGTGGTCTTCATTTGACCTGTGGACTTGCTGTTAGCAGACCACAAAGTGTCACATAGCATGTCTCCTGTGATCTCTTCAACAGCTTCATTTTGTACTTGCAATTCTTGGACAGTGTGGGTTGGTGCTGTACACAAGATCTTTGAGATGGCCCAAAAGGAAATAATGGTAGGGATTTATATCCAGTAAATGTGGTGGCCAGGACTGCCCACATCTGAAGCCTTCTGGAAATTGATTCAGTAGGACACAGCTATGAAACATATCATGCTGTACATCAAGATGACATTTGCTGTATATGGGTGTGCACTATCCTGTTGGGAAAATATTTGCACATGCCTTGCTGTCTGAATTACTGGAAATACCTCCTTGTCGTACTGCTGGCTTGTTGTGGTTCCCTCTACAGCTGTCAGTCCAATAAGCCCTTTCTTGCTGTTGGCTTATCATATTGTACATTTTGCAGGTTGGAGTGACATTTGTATGGTTGAGTGGATTTTCAGAGGCCCAGAATTTTGTGTTCTGCTTGTTCACAAACCCATTGACGTTGAAATGGCTCCATCACTTAACCACAAGCAATCTAAGCCTAAGGTGGTGAGGTACTGCTACACAAACTGTAGGAAGTCCTGACAGAAGTTGGTTCTCTGCTGGTTGTCTTCAATTATCATCTATACCACTTGTGCTTTGTTACCGGGTGATTGGGAACTTGGTGTCACACATTTTCTCAGATTCTGAAGCTGTGTTCTGCAGTTCATGAACATTGTCTGCTTGTATGCTGACTTGTGCCTTCCTGCCACATCCTTCTTGTTTTCACAGACCCTATTAAAATGTCTGTACCAGATAGGTGATTGTGGATCTTGTTGGTGCCTTTCATGTGATTAATTTACTCTGAAACTGTCTTTTCACTGTACAGGACTACATATTTAGTAAAATGTTTTGACAGTAAACACATGATCCTCCTTGATCTATGCCATCTTGCACAGTGAGTGCTGTTTATGCACCTGCAAACTCCAAACATTCCTGCATCTAGTGGTTTTCGTTTTCAAGATGGCAGTGGGCATTTATTGTTATGAAGAAAGGTTATAAAACTTTGAAAGTTTAACATTTTAGCGAATTTTTTACATGTTGTTATTGTTATGAAGAAAGGTTATAAAACTCTGAAAGTTTAACATTTTAGTGAATTTTTTACACGTTGCGTAAATTGTGCTCTGTCAGTATCATATTGTGATACTGTCTACCTACTATGGCAAACTGCAAGAAACGTTTGCACCACTTTTAACATTTGTGACTGACCTTTTCACAGAAAAGAAGTAAATGACATTAGAAGTTTCTAACCTTTGATTTAAGTTAAGTGAGTTAACAAACTTCCTTCTCTTTATAGTCTATTGCATTGACCCTGTTAGGAAGAATTAAAATCAGATGTGTTGACATCAACCATGTTTTTGTAAGCATTTGTCATGGAGGAGCATGCTCTATTTGCTCTTAAAACTTTTTTTTGCCTGTCACAGAGGCTTGTGTTTGGATTTTATTACATCTATTTTGTGGTTCTTTTGTGTAACATTGCTGAACCTCAAGAATGAAATTTATACATGGCAGTATGTGAAGCCCTAGCCTGATACTGATTAGCTATTAATCTAACACGAACTTTGTTGAAGTTCTTAAAGTGTAGGTTATTTTCTTGGCTCTGATGTTACTAAGAAATGTGGTTCCTGTTCACAGTAAACAGGTAACTTAACTTTTAACTCATTGTAGCATCTGTTTGCTTATTATAGGAGATGAGAATAGTAAAGGCAGAAGGAGAGAAACTGGGAATGCATATCAAAGGTGGACTGAGAGGTCATCGTGGTAACCCATTGGATCGTACAGATGAAGGTGTCTTCATTTCCAAAATCAACTCTGGTGGGGCTGCGAAGAGGGATGGCAGACTCAAGGTGAGAATTGTATCATGTGCTTCCGGCTACAGAACGTAAACTCAATCTCTCAGTCATCGTAAACCCATAACTTTTCCCTCCTTCTTCTTTGGGTTTTACATTTGTCACAGGTTTCCCATTCTAATACTTTATATTTGTATTTAATTATTCCAGTATGTTTCTTTCAGATACCTATATTCCAAGACTTTCTGAATTTCAGTGTGTTGAGTCTTGCATATTTTCCATTTTGTGCCTGGGAATTAGTTGTCTTTGCTATCTGTGTTCTTCCATAATTTTCTAACCCCTGAAGTGTTTTACTTTTAAATATATTGTTTTTGTACCATCTTGTTTCACATCCATTTCTGCCTAATATATTTACTGAACTCATGGAAGAAGAAATGTTCTCACCATCTACCTGTTGCATAGGTCTGACTGCCAGTTTATCGTAAATATAATTTATTCTCTAGTTGTCCTGCAAGGTTATTTTGCACTAATGCCAAAGTCCGTCATTACATGTATTTGTGAACCAAATGAGTTTACATCCTTACAGCCCACTCTTGGAGGATCTATTTTAATATCATGTTACATTTACTTATTTTCTATTTGTTGCCTTCCAAGAGACTAATACACCAAAGTTCTGAATGTATGTTGTGTTGACTTTAATACCTTAATACTACTATGTGGTTGTATAATATTTCAAATATGCTATTTACAGACAATGTCTGTATGTTGCAGGTGGGGATGAGGCTTCTGGAAGTCAATGGTATTTCTCTGTTAGGTGCCTCACATCAAGAAGCAGTAAATGTGCTTCGGAATTCAGGGAATGAGATAACGCTTGTGGTCTGCAAGGGTAAGCAGACACTAAGACCTGTAAATTCCTGACATCTGAATTTTAGTAAGACAATATATGCAAGCTATGAATTTGTGTTGTTTTCAGGTTATGACAAAGCTGAGGTAGACAGGTTATTAACAGAAGGAAAGCTCAGCAGAGAATCCAAGTCCGTCTCTCAGAGTGTGTCTAGTCTTGATCGTGATGATGAAGATACAACTACACTGAGACAGGCAAGAGACATTTTTTATAGTGAAATGTCTAGTTAACAAAATATTATTCATTTTGATTTGAACTATCTTTTTTTGCATTGATATTAAGATTCTGAAGAAGAATTACTTTTTATATCTTGGCCTGATTTTTAAAACATTTATATCCTGAACATAAAGAGGTGTTTCATTCTGTATATAGGAACAGGAAATGAAGCAGGAATTGGTAGAGTGGGAAAAAGAAGAACAAGAGCGGAGAGACAAGGAATTGGCGATTCAGCAGGGACAGCAAATTGTGTCTCTAGCTGAAGCAGCTAGGGAAAAGTCAACTCCAGAGAGGGTAAGTGTTCTGTAACACCATTAATAGAAACAAACATTATAAGGTGTATATTTATTGTATTTAATAATTCACAAAGAATTTTAGTGTTCAGCTTAATAGGTGTCGACACAAGTGATTGTGAATGGAGGTGCGTGGAGTATTGGGTCTTAATCCATTGGCTGAAGGTGCAAATGATGTAATTATGAAAATAGCAACTTTGGGAGAGGGTTGAGTATGTTTTATTGAGACTAGAGATACACTGTGTTTCCTTGAAAGAAAAATTGTGAAGCAATATATAGACTATATACAGTACATAGAATACAGTATATAGAATGAGGATAGGTAGGAACAAATAAGGAAATGAAGTAGAAGGAAAATATGGAATAACTAAAATATGTGGTAAAACAAAGCAAAACATGGCAGTTTAAAATGGGGGGCAAGAGGGATAATGGTAAGACATCCAAGGTTGGGAAGAGGCGGCTGTCTGTCAGTGTCCCAGATTAGAAACAAAGAATTATAGGGCAAATGATGGACACCTAGATGGGTGCTGAGGATGTGGATAGAGGGCTGGCATGCAAGTAAGGTAAGAAACAGCCCTTATCAGTGCTGTCAAGGGACCAGGGGAGAGGATAACGTGTGGCAGATGGGGCAGAAGGCCACAGGATAAATAACCAAGGAGAACTTGGGGGAGGTATGGATTGAACAATCGGAAATAACAGAGTTAGAGGTCATTGGAGGGAGGAAAGTAGCTGGTCAGGGCAGGGACCTTGGCTACTAGGTCAGCACACATCCTTTTTATGACAGTGACCCATCTGTTGCTAGCTCCTTTCCTCTTTTCATGCTCTTCCTGTTCTATTTACCTAAAAATCACTTTACTAGAAACTTATATTGCGAAAGACGTAAGATGCAGATGCTGACCAAGAAATATGTTTGTGAGTACAAAGACATTGTTGTGACCTTCACTTTTGAGCCCTCTGGTTGAACTACTTGAAGGTTGAGACTTGTTGAACCAGGATGCTCAACAGAGTAGGAATTTGTTCTCCTGCTGGTCACCTGAAGAGACTTGTTGAACCAGGATGCTCAACAGCGTAGGAATTTGTTCTCCGGCTGGTCACCTGAACACTGAATTAGAACCAGCTGTAATTTTATAACTTATAGATGATGAATGAAGTCCAACAGAATAATTTTACATGTCAGGATAGCTGTTTGACTTGTCTGGGGACATTACCACTGTGAAGGTTGTTATGTAGTTATATGCTTTAACCAGGTACTTATTACTTCATTGTTATCATTAGGTACTGGATGTGGTGAGAGCAGCGGAGCTGCTGGTGAACAAACCTTCCAGTCCGACGGAGATACTGGTACCAAAGTCTCCAGGTGGTCCTAAGACAGATCTGAAAACGACCACCATTGTAATGAGCAAGCACACACTAGCTCCACAGTCCAGCACGGTGAGTACCCAGAACATTTTGCATAATTGTTTAGCATTGTTTATATACAAGTTTGTAATTCCCGCTCTTGGTCTGATACTTGTATATAGCAAACACACTTAACTTATATTCTTTTTACTACTTTCTTTACTACCATGTTTGTATAAATGACTATGTGAATCTTGTCTTTGAAAGATGATATAGGAAACATGAGTCTTGATGTGAAACTGGAGATAAAATACAGCATGTAACACAATAAGGTGTACAACTTTGAAAATTTGTGACCATTCAATAGTAATATCACAATGTAGTTTCTTACCTAACATTTGTTAACACTTCGCTGCCACTGCTTATGCACCAGGCATCCAGGTGATATTCTAAATTATCCCACTGTTTGTCCAAGAAAGTGATATGTATCAGAGCTTTGGCATTAATTACAGTATTGTCTGGATGTCTGCTGCTTGAACAGTGACAGGCATATTGAGCACTTACCAGAAAAAATGTATGTGTTAACAAATGTTCTGTAAGATAATGTGTTGTGATAATACTGTTCATTTGGTCACAATAAATTGTCATAGTTATGTACCTTATTCTGTTACGTTTTGTATAAAGTGAAGTGAAAGAACTTGGGGGCTGCTAGCCCATGGAAGAACCTTTAAATTGCAATTACAACAATGAATACATTGATAAGTGGTGAAACCCAAAACATCACTAGATGGTAATCACGTATATGACCCGAGCATTTATTTGGCCTCAGACTGCACTTATCTTAAATTTCATGGTCATTAGCATTGACACCTGAAATATACTAACAGAAGGTTTTCTCCTTGTCATCTGTGTCCTTTGAGCCCTTACTCTGTGAATTGTGCCTCTGTTATTCAATTCACATGCATGAATAGCAAATGTAATGTTGGTGTTCAGTGGTTAGAACTATTGCTTTGTATTCAGGGTGCCCTGGATTCAAATCTGAGCTCAGAGGCCAGCCTATCCTGAACTGAGACTTTTTATGGTTTTCTCAGCCCTTCAGGCAACTGCCAGGATAGTACTTAAAATTAGGTTATGACTACTTCTTTCCACATCCTTTCTTATTCATGATTTATTTGTCATTCTATCATTCAATGGCATATGCTTTGAGATGCTGATAGTGTTGTTAAATTAACCACACATGAAAATAAAAATTGAAAAGCAAGGTACCTGTGTACTCAGAAGGTGGCTGTCTTTTGGATTGTAGCGCTGTGTAGTCTGGTAGAAAAGGTCCGTGCTACCTCCGTCATCAGGCATTATTGCCCTGATGATGGAGGCAGCAAGAACCTCTGAAATATTGCTAAACTACAACTGAGAAAACAGCCATCCTCATACTCACTGCTGTGATAACCTCAAATCCTACATATGCACTCATGATGCACCTGTTTGAAGCAGTGCTGGCTCTTAATTACAGCTGTCATCTAAAAAATGTCATAATGGGTAAACTGGTATATGTTAGTTATGGTACAGTAAATATTTTCTGTGCCCCTAACAGTAATTGTTGTACCTTATACTGTTCACATGTTAACATATTTGCTGCCAGACATTTCATGATGTGGATGCACATTTATGCTTGTTGTGTTTACCAGCCACGTCACCTGATATTTTTATATTGACTAATTTTATAGAAAATGTCTTTATTAGAAGGCTGTGTAATTAATCACATTCTCAGACAAAATATAAAGGGAGAGCTTTTGCTGTCAGTTTTTTATCAACCTTTTTCGTAGAGGCACTGGAATTTATTTTTAGCCTAAAATTAAAGTTCTTGAACAGCAGATGATGTTTCCCCCAAACAGTTGTTTATGTTTATAACTGTGGCATATTTTTGTAAGAAATTAGGTGTTATGCAGAATATTTGTGGATAGTGATGAGCAAAAGATGTATTAAGGTGTTGAATGTGTTCGGTGTGGAGTGTGAGTTTCTCTTGAAATCCTAATGGCAATGAATGTGTTAAAAATTTGTTTTATGTTATATTCTAACTTGAATTACCTCATATTTGTGCAGATGTAGCAGATATTTCTTTTAAGTTTGATACAGATATGGAGTTTATTTGTTTAGAAATTTCTTGAATGATATGTACACCCATTAAGGTTCTTTCCAATTTGATGTTGTTGGTTCCTCTGCTAGGTGTCATGATTGCTGGCGTCTTCTTTAACTATGGTGCCGTGAAGGTTTGTTTTGTTGTCTCTTTGTTTGTGGCTTGAAGTTGGATTTGTGCATGACTAAATGCTGTTTGAGAAACGTATGTGCAAATTTGCATTGAATGCATTTTATATCTACTAATGTATATTGCCAGTGTATTATGGGTGAAATATGATACTTTTTTGCTGTGATTACATTACCTTCCTTCTATAGTTAACACAGTGGATTGGCACAATAGTAACATGTCTGACTCGAATTAAAGTGTTAACCAGTTTAAATTAAGGGTGGATACTGAACTGTCCTCACTTATGTTTTCCGTTGTTTTGATCAGTTCCTTGTGGTGAGTGCCATAATATTGTCTTGAAGTAGGATATTACCACTTCATCTTCATTCATCATTCACTCATTTGAAGACATGTCATTCAACAACATATATAATCTCAGCAGTTGGTATAATGTTATAAAATAACAATTTATCATTTTAATGTAATTAGAATGTGAGGCAAATTGCTTCAAGTCCATTCATATACACACTTTAGATGCTGAACAAAAATCATATAACTTTCAGTTTATCACTACTGTGAAGTAATGTGTGTGTTAAACTAGGATTTTTCAGACTTTCATATAAATTGAATACCATTTACAAGCAAAACATTTTTGCCCAAAATAAGAGAAAGAAAGTGTTTGCAACCAAATATTTTGTATGGTTGTGCCATCTCATAACATGTGAATTACATAGTAGAAAATATGCATTTTAGAATTGGCCAGATGAGATTATGGCTGACATAGCAGAACTTGCTTCATAGGGTGCGTTTGTTTGCTTTCATGAAGAGAGTTAATGTCTGTTAATGTTATGTCTTTCATGCTGGTTAGCATGTTTAAACAAGGTGTTTATGTTGGCCATAATTATTTTATTTAATTATTAACCAATTTCCTGCCTAGATTGTTTATTATTCCAATTCAGTTTTGTTCCAATTGGCATTCGTATTGTGTTATGAATATGTTAATGAGTTAAAAGAGTATAAATTGAAGGGTTAATGCAGTTCTTCATGCTAGAATACAGTGAGTCTTGCCAAAGGAACATTTGTAACATACAACATTTTATTTGCAGCAAGGAAAAACTTTGCAAAGAGTATTTATACATGTTCTCAAAAAATATGAAAGTTAAACAGTTTCATAATCTCAAATTCTTTTTTTCAATCTCATCAGTTTCATATGGGCAGGTATAATGCTGTGAAAAGCAATATAGTAGATTAATCTTTAAAATTCCAAAAGTAAATTAGTACCTTTCATTTTACCACATTAGTGGACAAGGCATTCAGAAGGCTACAGTGCTTAATTCACTTTGGAGCTCACAATAATTCAAAGTACACCAGCAGCCAGTTTCCATGGAATTTGCATTATTCTGAGTTAAAACTTCAGATCCCTGCAGATCTCATATTTATGAAACAGTATTTTTCCTTTTAGGGGGGTAGGGTATCTGTTGTACATGTAGATGCTTTTGTCTATATTATATATAATTTTTCCCATAAGATGTCACAAGATATAGCTTTGTTTTCAAGTTTTGCCATCTGGTTGGTAGCTTTGTCATCAGGATCACTAAATTCTTGGACTATGTCCATAGTCTGTGTTTTTGAAAAGAACACTACATTTTGGAAGTTAGATCTGCTTCTATCTCAGGTTAAAACGGGGAGAGGGGCACCTACTTAGATGGGCCTGATAGAAAGAGCTAACCTCAATCACTGGATAACCTAAGTCACTCTAACTACATCCATGTAACCACCTGAGATCAGGCTTTGTCAACAGGAGACAGTAGGAAAAATAATTTGTAGGGATGTATTAGAGGACCTAAAATTAAAAAAAATAAATACATGAAATTAAACCCAAAGAAAAACTGAAATATAGTATAACAACCTGCTAACCACTAGCTCCAGCTATGAACCAACAATTGAACCCTTAAACTAAGATATGAAACTACCCTCAAAGAAACTATCAGATCATTATGACCTTCCCTATTGGTTACTAACCTCCTTTCTGATAAGAGGAATCCATATTGGAAAGATTTCCAAACTGGGTTGGCTGATGGGATTATTTAAACACAGACAATGGACATAGTCCAAAAATTTAGTGTACCTGATTGTAACATACTATCGCCAATACCCTTTAAAATTAGCTTTGTCGTGTTAAGTGGCAGCCATTATTTATTTTAAGTGTAAATAGATATGAGATGATGACATTAGTAAGTTTAATTTGCAGATTTTGAATCTTAAGTTGAATTCAAGTTTCAAATTTATTTATGCAACCAAGATATTTTGTACAAAGGAAAATAGTGTAGTGAGAGTTAAATTAAATTATCAATTTCATATACACAAGCTCATATATTGAATGTAGCAGTTAGTTCTTTACCATTATATTCTGGAGATGTTTAATTTTAATCTTGGCTGAAAGGCAGGTTGTACTGACTTTCACATATTTTTTCTCAGTCTCTCCAAGCAATTGATGTAATAGAACTTTGAAATCTGTCATATCGTTCTGGGATTTGAGATTCTTGCGGCAAAGGTATTGATCTTTGTCTTCTGCATTGTGATGTAGTGTGTTATGATGTGGGTGAACACTGAAGATGGTGATAATAAATTCCTTTGAAATGTTGGTAAACCATGTACAACACCACACATGTCAGAACCCAGAAGACCATGCATGATCAGCATTACATCTTTCATTCTTTATGATTTACCCTTCATAATCATACTGTAATTTCTCATTCAATAATTGAGAACTTCTACATTAGCTGTAAGGAAAATGTTTCTGTGAATTGAGATAATATCACAGGTTTCCAGTATTGCAAAGATAGTGATC